TATAATATCCTTCCTTGTCTTTTATGGTGGATTTTGCCTTAAAGTCTATTTTATCTGAGATTAGTATTGCCACTCCTGCTGCTTTTTGGTTGCTGTTTGCTTGATATATTTTTTCCATCCTTTGATTTTTAATATATTTATGTCTTTGTGTCTAAGGTGTGTCTCTTGTAGACAGCATATTGACAGGTCATTTTTTATTTTTATCCATTCTGTCACTGTCTCTTTGAGTGCATTTAAGCCATTTACATTCAGTGATTATCTATAGGTGTGAGTTTATTGTTGTCATTTTGTAGTCCTTTTTTTTTTTTGTGGTGCTAACATTTTCTTTGTTCCTCTTACTCTCCTGTGCTGATTTCCTTTTGTTTGTGAATTTGTTTTTCATTTTTGTAGATTTTGTGTTTACTGAGACTTTGTTTTTCTTCTTTATTTTGATGAGTAGGCTTGCTGACTCTTTGTGGTTACCTTGTAATTTACTCCTATCTTTCTAAGTTTGAACCAGTCTTTTATTACTTGGTATTTCCTTGACTTCCCCTCCATTTGAAAGTTCTATACCTACACCACTTATTCCCCCATTTTATTATTCTGATGTTGTTGTCATTACAGATTGACTCTGGTTCCCTGTTGTAAGTCTTCTAGTTTTGTTTTATCCTTGAGAGTTCATTTCTTAGATTGGTATCTGGCTGATGCTGTCCTGTGTCCTAAATTCTTCTTGTTTTCTGATGTTGTTTGTTCTCTAACCGAAGGACTCCCTTTAATAATTCTTGTAAGTTTGGTTTTGTTTTTACATATTCCCTTAATTTCTGTTTATCTGGAAATGTCCTAATTTTGGCATCATATTTGAGTGAAAGTTTTGCAGGATATGTTATTCTTGGTTGGCAATTTTTTTCTTTCAAGGTTTTATGTGTGTCATCCCACTGCCTTCTTGCCTGCATGGTTTCTTACGAGTAGTCAGAGCTTAGTCTTATTGTTTCCCCTTTGTAAATGACTTTTTTCTCAAGCTGCTCTCAGGATTTTATTTGTCTTTGGTTTTAGCGAGTGTGATTATGATATGTCTTGGTGACTTTGTTTTGGGGTCTATCCTGTATGGGGTTCACTGAGCTTCTTGGATGGTCAGCTTTTCATCTTTCATGATATTAGGGAAGTTTTCTGTCAGCAATTCTTCAATGATCCTCTCTGTGTTTTCCATCTTCTCCCCGTTCTGGAATTCTGATTACATGCAAAATTTTGCTCTTGCCAACATACTTCCTAGGTTTTCTTCACTTTTCTTCAATCTTTTCTCTGATTTTTCCTCAAAGTGGTATCTAAGGATTTGTCTTCAATTTCACTGATTCTATCTTCCATTGTTTCAAATTTGCTTCTAAAAAATCTTCCATTGTGCTGTCCATTTCTGAAATCTTGTTTTTTGTCTTTTGAATTTCTAATTGCTATTTTTATATGAGTTCTAATTATTTGAGATTTTGTTTTTGTACCATTTTTCTGAAGTTTTCCATCGCTTTGTGTTTTCCATGATTTTGCTTATTTTTTCCTTAGTTTTGTTTGTTTTCCTTCATCTCTTTCCTAGTCTCTTGAAGAGCTCTGAATATTACACTTCTGATTCCCTATCAGGTAGTTTCAGTGCCTTTTCTTCTACCAGAGGTTATCTGGTGTTTTAGTTTGTTCGCTTACTGGAGCCATCCTGTCCTGTTTTTGTATATGTTTTGATATTGTCTGCGGTCTCCAAGACATTCAGGAATTATTTTATTGATTGTAGGTTTGTTTGTTTCATCCTGCTTTTTTAATTTGATTATGTCTGAGTGGACAGGCTGGGCATGTTTTGTTGTTTTGTTGCTTGCTCATCTGTAGGTATGATAGTTCTCACTACCTTGCCCAGGTGGGCAAGGCTGGTCACTCAGCTATGGTACAGCAGGGTAGGTCTAGCATGGGGGGTGGGGCAGGGATGGGTAGTTTGGAGCATGAACTGTGGCCAACAGGGCAGGGTTGGGGGTGGTGCACGGGGGTGTGGCACTCAGCGGAGGTGGGGCTGGGGGACAGCGCAGAACAGGGTCCAGGGGTCCTCAACAATGCCACTCAGCAGCACAGAGCTCAGTGGGATGGAGCTGGTGGGTACCATGGGGGTGTCCGGGGGTCCACCCTGGTGCTGCTCAGCAGAGTGGTACTCAGGTCGGCGCTGGTGGGGGGCGGCACTGGATGGGGCCTGGGGTCCAGAGTTCTGCACATTTGCTACTCTGTGGCACAGCGCTCGGCGCATGTTGCAGAGAGGCAGGAGGGAAGAGAGAGGATTTGATGTGTGGAGCTAAGTGGGAGAGAGAAAGAAGAGAAAGGAACAGAAGCAAAAAAATGAAGAAATAAAAATAAATAAATAAAATAATGGCACGGTTGCAGTGGGCAGGTGGGGGCTGGGCAGATGCAGGGAGGCCAAGTACTGGTGGCTCTCTAGTCAAGTGGTGTGGCACGGCCTGTTGAGAAGGGGTGGGGTCGGTTCACAGGGCTAGGTGGCTGGCAGAAAGGAAAGGAAGGGAAAGACAGTGTAGAAACAAAAGAAATGGCACTGAGGGAACTGGCCATTGGAGGCAAGGTGGGACCTAGGTAGCAGCCAGCTTGTGTCTCTCTCACCAGGCAGCATGGCATGGCCCATCAGGAAGGGGTGGAGATAGTACAGAGCTTTGGTGGGAAGGAGATGGAAAAGGGAAAAAGGGAAAGATAAAGAAAAATAAAAAATATGGCACTGAGGGAGCCAGCCAGCGAAGATGGGGCAGGCCAGTGGCTCTGCACCCAAGCAGTGTGGCACAGCCTGTCGAGAAGGGGTGGGGGTGGCACATGGGGCGGCGATGGGGGGGGTGGGAGAAAAGAAAGGAAGGGAGAGAGAAGAAACAAAAAACAAAACCAAAAATATGGCACTGAGGGAGCCAGCCAGTGGGGGCAGGGCGGTCCGAGGGTGGCAGTGAGCCAGTGTCTCTCCAGCTAAGTGACTGTGGCCCATTGGAAAGCGGCAGAGGCAGCATACAGGGAAGAAGGGTGAAGGATGGGAAAGCGTGTATCTCTGGTTACCAGGTGCTCTGTCTCCTGTTGTGGGCTCTGTGAAGTTGCCTTCGCATATTCCCTGTCCAGGGTCGCTGGTGGCTGTGCTCAAAGATGGTGAAGCTGTGCAGGGGACCTCCATTCCTTAGCTCTCCTTGTTCTCTGTTCTCTGTCAGCTTCTTCTTCCATTCAATGCTTGATCTAGTTCTTTACTCCTTCATTTGATGCTTAGGATTCCAGGATTGACGTATCTGTTTTACTTCGTTTTTTTCGTTCTTTGCTGCAGAGGGACGGCATGGTGCTTCTGTCTACAGCACCGTGTTGGCTTCGCCCTTGTTTTGTTTTTTGCTGGAAGGTTTTGAAAATTCACCTGGGATGTTGCTATCACTGCATGTCCTTCTCTGAGGCTAGTCAGGACACCAATAGGAAAAGGAGGCTGGCCAGCTGAGTGAATGCCTTAGGGATTTTACTCTATGCTCTCATTTTCAATCTTATCACCTTGAGTAATCCCAAGAATTTGGAGGAAAATAAAAATTAGTTTTTCCCCATTAAGTGAGTTTAAAATCCTTTCCTTAATTCAAAGGAGTGTTTGACATGAGAGTGTACTGTTGGTGGGATCCTAAAACACACCATATAGGGCTCCCCAAAAGCAAGAAAAGCTCTTTTCTCTGTTTAGCTCATTTTGGGTATTTAAACACTCTATCAGGAATGTATTATAATAAATAAGAGACTTCATCAGCCTGAGACCAGAAGAACTGGATGGTGCCTGGCTACCACCAATGACCGCCCAGACAGGGAACACAGCAGAGAGTCCCTGATGGAGCAGGAGAAATGTGGGGTGCAGAACTCAAATTCTAGTAAAAAGACTGGACTTGATGGTCTGAGACTGGAGGAACCCCAGAAAGCACAGCCCCCAGACTCTCTCTCAACCCAGAACTAAGACAATTCCCAAGGCCAACTCTTCAAAGATTGGACTGGACTGTGGAACATAAAATGATACTCATGAAGAGTGTGCTTCTCAGCTCAAGAAGATACATGAGACTAAATGGGCAGCTTCTGTCTGGAGGTGAGATGAGAAGGCAGAGAGTGTCAGGAGCTGGTTGAATGGACATGGGAAATCGGGTAGACAGGAGGAGTGTGCTGTCACAGTATAGGGAGAGCGATTAGGGTCACAAAACAATGCGTGTATAAATTTTTGTATGAGAGACTAACTTGAAATGTAAACTTCCACTTAAACTACAACAATAAAAAAAGAATGTATTAGAAATTACAAAGAAAAGGAGGACAATTACAGTCCTTTCTTTGTTTCTCATCCTCACTAAATGATATGGCAGGTGGAGTGGAATCTGAAGAAAAATAGATTCCGTCCTTCCCACCCTTATGGAATGTGTGGTGCTGTCTCCAACCCTACCCCTTATTAGATTACCTGTTGGGGGGAAGAAAAAACTAACTGAAAATACAACCAAGGTAGTTTGGAAATACTGACAGAGGAGATGGATGATTTAACAAAAGAGATTCTGACAATTTTTTTTACAACACTATAATTATAAAGTTGAAGGCACATCATTGGCAGAAATACGATCAATAACATGCTTATGGAAGAACAAACTACTGAATATCTTAACTACAGTAGATGAATGCTGCACAATATCATCCACTACTCTTTTGGGTACCAAACAATCAACGTTTAACAATGTTTAATTGAACATTTCTTTATCTAAAAACGTAAGGTTGAGACACCTAGTTTTGGCTACAAAAGGCATTTATTATCAATGCATTAAAGAAGCTAAAACTAAACTAAATTGAAGAACAATCATTAATCATTCATGCTTTATGCTTTATCTGGCTACTCATACCAGAGTGAGGGACTGGAGAAAGTTAGTGTAAAAACAGGTAATAATTTGGCATGAGTCTATCTTTTTGTATTTGGTAAAATAGTATTTTTAAAAATAGAAAAGAAATAAATAAACAGGCAGTAATTCCAGGAATGTTTTCATTCTTATTAAAATAACCAGTAACCAGATGCCTCATCCAAAGAAAATAACAAAATAGAGTAAAATAAATATTAAGAAAAATCAATGTAAAGCAAGATCCACAAGTAACAGAAAATTTTTCTCTAACATACACTCTTGATTTTAAACTGTGTACAGAAAAGATATGCACACTTAAATTTTGGGGAACATGTTGTCTACAGTGCTATTTTAACAATCCTTTACATCTGAACAAAGAATAATTTTTAAAAAGCCAATGCACAGTATAAAATGTTCACAAGGCAGCAAAGTTAACATTTCAAAATGTTGACATTAAGCTAGGAAAATTAATATTTCTGTTTTCACAACTGACAACAATATTTATGTTTTGTCACTATTCTATAACACTAAATAGTTGTGTTTTAATCTTTGAAATTCAAAAGGCATCTTTGGATATCTAAGATAAAAGGTGCCCCATAGTTGTGTTTGAACCAGCACTGGATATCAAAGTGTCGTTGTTATCTTCACACTGAGGGCATAGCTGCTGAGTGAACACAGAAGAGTAAAATAAAGAACTTCAAATATTCAAATATCAAATTCAAATATAAATCCATTTGCCTTCTGTATGGTTTTATATATATATATATATATATATGTGTGTGCATGTGAATAAACACACACACTTATAAAATGTGTTCTCACTAGTAACTAGTTACTAGTAAGCTAGTCACTAACTGAACGCAATGTTTTTGATTCCCTACATATATACCTCTCTGTCCAGTGAATACAGCTTCTCTCTGAAGCTAATGGGGGTTTACGATTGCAAAAGAGACTTGCAGAGAATTGAAATGTGGCTACAGATGCTTTAAAAATGACTCTTTCTAAACAGCAAGTTTCCTGTTCTTGTAGTAAGGACTGAAATTTAAATCCTAGATTATTCCCAGACTATAGACTGTTACTCCCAGTCCTACAACATGCACGTGGGGCCTAAAGGAAGACTCAAACACACACAATAATAATGATAATAAAAATAAAAGCTGGATATGTTCAACTGCTTAAAACAAAAAGAGGTGCTTCTTTTTTTCAATTTGGCTTGAGTCAATTCGGCTCGAGTGAGAAAAGTATTATACATTTGTCATATCAGCTGTTTCTTCTAGAAGAAACAAATTCTGGTATGATGGGTCGCTGGAATTAAAATAAGAAACAAATATTAAAACTCAAACTGGAAGCAGAGAAGATGGCAAAGGTATTGGTCTAAAAAAGAGCCTAGACATACAAATTCATTCATATTTCATTGAAATGGGTTTGTCTTTCTAGACTAATAGCACCTTCATCAAAAGTTTCAGTTCACTCTTTAAGATAGGTGGGAAAAAATTAGAACTTTTTCAAATATGAAAAGGCAGCATGGTATAATGTTGTAAACTTTTTGTGTGTGTAAGAGACAAAGACGGTAGGAGAGGAAGAACCCTATTCCTCAACCCCCACTTGATTTTAGACCCTGCTCTATAAAAATGATGTTTTACATTTATTACTGACCTCAAAGGGAGAAAACATGTACTGAGTACAAAGATGCCATATGGCAATAGGAACAAAATGTTAGGAATTTCCTTATGAGTTCTCTTCACTTACATTTTCTGCATATGTAATTCCACCCTGCAATTAACAAGGAAATTTAAATAGTGATACAAGTATCAGACCTTTAACCAGTGTATTAATTCCCAGGGGGAATTTCTAAATTCACATGGCAGAGGGAACAAGCTCCTAAATTTGCCAATCATACTAACTAGCAAGTGCAAATGCTTTAAACCAGGGAAAAGTATAAATTTAGCTAAAAGGTGTCACATTTAGAGGAAGTCTAATTTCTGTATTACAATTTATTGTATCTTTTTGGTAAAAGCAGCTTTGTGCAATTGCATTATTTTAAAGTAACTTTCAGAGGTTACCTGAAACATTAAAAGATAATTAAAATCTATTAAATTACATATACTCAGTAAGGGCTTGTATTCTGTCCAAAAAAAGTCAAAGCTAGTGAATCCAAAAAACCCATTGCCTCAATTCCAACTCACAGTAACCCTATAGGATAGAATAGAACTGCCCCATAGGGTTTCCAAGGAGCAGCTGGTAGATTCAAACTGTCAACATTTTGGTTAGCAGCCGAGCTCTTAGCCACTGCGCTAGTAATGTTATATGACCTGTATATGTTAAAGATGGTAGTGTTAATCTTTGAAAATACCAATTGCAGAAGAGGCTCAAATTTTTTTTAAGTTTCTGGACTGAGGCTGGTAAAGAGGCTACACTAAAAACAACTTCTTATAGCTGAACTCAGCAGGAGTGAATTGAAAGTTTGCAGAGAACTAGAAAGGTTGAAGGAAGAATTTTACAATATCTTTTTACAAGGGAAAGATGGGAGGCAGGAAACCCTACAGACCCTTAAAGACCTTTGAGCTACAAGATAAAAAAAAGGGAACAAACTATTGAAAAAGTTGTCAGTTAATTTTAAATATGAAGAATCACCCAAACCTGTCTCACTTGGAAGAAGAAAGTCAAAGAAAACATACTGCAGCATCTAAGAAAGCAACTGCAAGGACAAAGTTGTAGGGGGAATGAGGGAGAAAGAAAGCCTGGAATAAGTAAGGCACGTTTATTTTCAAACAGTTTTTACTATTTCCCTTCTAAAACTAGATGCTTTAAACAGTGCTTTCAAAGTCATCGCTCCCCAGTCTGGCAGGGATAGGGCTCAAGAATCTCAAGGTCATTTTCTCAAATATTCAAAATTTTAATTATCCTCTTTGGATTTTTCTCTTTTTTTTTGTCAAATTAAAAAAAATCTATCACTTTAGTAGCAATTCAGCAGTCTTTAATTTGGTATCTATTGCAAACCTCATGGCTCTACCTTATCTGTTGCTAGTGAAACAAAAAATTCTGGAAATTCACTTCAAATAAAGCTAGGTTCAGAGCTGATGTCCTGAAAAAGATATTTTTATCATTAGACAAATAAATGTAACTCAAATAGAACTCCTAATACAAGAGCATGAGAACAACATAAAATCCCTCCACAATATTTTGAAAAGCTAAGATGACTTCATGAATGCTCCGTCAGTGCATAACAAGTTAAGCTAGTAGTACTCTCTCTGCCCTTTTACAATGCAGTGTCATCTTCCCTGAAGTCTCCCACCAGGAGTGAGTGCTTGTCAGGTTCATTGGTAACAACGCTGTTTAGGGAACGTTTATCAGACAGTAGTGAGTTTATGGAGGCTCTACTGTAATTAACAATCCGGTCCAGCAAACTCAGTTGAGGAGAAATTCTTGAGTTGTCATCTATTCCAACATGAACACTGATTTCTGAAGGACTCTTCTGTCCTATCTGGCTCCGGGTATGCAGTTCATAATTCTCATAAGCTGGTTTCCTATACCTGGACACATGCAAAAGTACACTAGTTTGAAATAACCAAGTGTGAACTAGATGCTTGTTACATTAAAAAATGAAAGAAGTAGAAAAACAATTTGGCAGATGCTCAAAAAGTTAAACATAGAATTACCATAAAAAAAACCACCAAACCCGTTGCCATTGAGTCAATTCTGACTTATAGTGACCCTACAGGACATAGGAGAACTGCCCCATAGGATTTTCAAGGCTATAATCTTTATGGAAGCAGACTTCCACATCTTTCTCCCGTGCAGTGGCTGGTGGGTTCAAACTGCTGACCTGTTGGTTAGCAGCCAAGCGCTTAACCACTGTGCCAGCAGGGCTGACCTAGTAATTCCACTGCCAGGTATATATAAAAAAGAATTGAAAACAAGGACTCAAACAGATACTTGTGCACCAATGGTTGTTGCAGCGCTACTCACAGTAGCCAAAAGATGGAAACAACCCAAGTATCCATCAACAGATGAATCGATAAACAAAATGTGGTATATACATACAATGGAATATTACTCAACCATAAACAGAAATGAAGTCCTGATACATGCTACAACATGGATGAATCTAGAAAACATTATGCTGAGTAAAATAAGTCAGACACAAAAGGACAAATACTGTATGATTCCACTTATATGAAATATCTGAAATGGGCAATTGCTTAGAGAGAAAAGTTTATTGTTGGTTACCAGGGGCTGTGGGAAGGGAGAAATGAGTTACTGCTGAAGGGGTACTAAGTCTGTATCTGGGATGATGACAAAATTTTGGAAATGGATAGTGGTGATGGTAGCACAACTTGGTGAAAGCAACTAATGTCACTGAATTACGTACTTAAAAAGTGGTTACAATGGCAAACTTTTTGTTACATATATTTTGCCACAAAAAATTGTTTTTAAAATAAAGAAGTAAATTAACCTGGTATGACAGTGTACTAAGATGATCTCTGCTAGAAAAGTGGCCAGAAACTGTGTAGAGTCAAATGAAATTCTACTTCTCATAGCCAATGTACTAGATTTTACCCCACTTACTGGTATGTATAAACTATATAAGGCAACAGTTACATAACTAACATTTATTATTAGACAAGGCTTGAGCTTATCATTGATTAATATAAGAATATAACCTACCAAGACAGACTGTGGATTATAAAGGGAATATAAAATATAAACTTGAGCAAGCCATTACACTTACAGTTTAAGGAAGAGAGAAGAAAGTACTACTGAAACAGATGAAGCAGCCATTGCAGCGGATCCCATCCAGGGCTGCAAAACCAAACCAATGGGCATAAAAACTCCTAGGAAACAAACCTGGATTAGTTAGAGCATATACTACTACAGAGATCACCATATATATATACAAAACAGTTCCTTTTTGATATTTTTCAGCATTTTACCCATTTGTTGATGCAGATAAGTGTTGCCAATTTTTCACTAATAGAATGTTGCTGTGAACATTCTTATACATGTCAGCAATGTTCATTACAAATGAAAATTAGAATTATTCATTTTAACATTACCTCTCATCATACCAGGAGGATATATACAAGAATTAAGCACAAAACTAATAAAAAGACTAAAAGCACAAATAAGATAGGTCTCTAATGACTTCAGAAGAAAAAAGCAATACTATTTTACAGTCACGTACCAGCAGCTATGGGAATTCCAACCAGATTATAAATTAGAGCAAAGACAAAATTTATCCGAATCCTCTTGACTGTCTTTCTTGATAAGTCGAAACTTGCCACTACATCCAGAAGATCATTCTGAGAACAGAAATATTTGTGATGTTAGTGAGAGACTCTAACTAGTAACTTCCGGGTTTGATACTGTATATATTAACAGTATGTGCACCTTGAGATAATAGGTGAACTAACTATAAATCTCAGATATTGCTAAAAATTTGAATCAGCATTGAACAATGTTTTTCAGGAATTTTTCTCAGGATTTTGAAAACACTTTCAGGGTTGTATGCTGGTATGGAAATTAAATACCATTAAAATAACCTCAGCTAATATTTGTTGAAGGTAATTTTATTATAAGTACATGTCTAAATCTTATTATTCACCTTTACCAGTTCTTATTGAGCCAATTCCAACTCATGGTGACCCCGTATGTGTTAGAGTAGAACTGTGCTCCATAGAGTTTTCAACAGCTGAATTTTCAGAAGTAGATCACCAGGACTTTCTTCCAAGGTGGCCTCTGGGTAGACTCAAACCTGCAACCTTTCAGTTAGCAGCCAGGTACATTAACTGCTTGCACTACCAGGGACTCCACTATTCACTTTAGGAGCTTGTAATTCACATTTGTTTAGTTGGATTGAGAAAATCAGGAGGTAATTAGTAAGACTTTCCATACTCCCATGCCAAATTCTCACATCGTTAATGGTTGAGAACATGGGAATTAAAAGGACAGAATGTGCTTGATACACCTTACAACACTATCACTGACTATGTGAGGAAGTGTGATGGTTAATTTTATGTGTCAACTTGGCTAGGCTATGGTCCCCAGTTGTTTGGTCAAACACTAGTCTAGATGCTGCTATGTGGGTATTTACATTTGATTAACATTTACAATCAGTTGACTTTAAGTAAAGAAGATTGTCCTCAATAATGTGGATGAGCCTTGTCCAATCAGTCCGTCTTAAAAGCAAAACCTGAAGTTTCCAAGAGGAGAAGGAATTCTGCATCAAGACTGTAAGATATTCTGCCTAAGATTCTAACCTGCCACCTGAACTATAGATCTCAGACTCAAGACTGCAGGACTTTCCAGCCTGCTGCCCGGCCTACGGATTTTGGACTTGCAGCCTCCAGAATCATGTGAGCCAATTCCTTTATATATACTAATTACCTCCTGATTTTCTCTGTGCATGCGTGTGTGTGTGTATAAAATATATATACACACGCACACAGAAAATCAGGAGGTAATTAGTAAAACTTTCTATATACTATATATACGTGTGTGTGTATATATATGTATACATACACACACACACACACACACATATATATATAAGGAGCCCTTATGGCACAGTGGTTAAAGCAATCACCTGCTAACCGAAAGGTTGGCAGTTCGAAACCACCAGCGACTCCATGGGAGAAAGATGTGGCAGTCTGCTTCCATAGAGATTTACAGCCTTGGAAACCCTATGGAGTCGCTATGAGTCAGAATCAACTCAGTGGCAGTGGATTATTTTTGGTATAGATATATATATAGAAAATCAAGAAATAATTAATAAGACTTACCATATACTATACACACACACAATACACACACACACACACACACACACATATATATATATATATAGAGAGAGAGAGAGAGAGAGAGAGATTCCATTGGTTCTGTTTCTCTGAAGAACCCTAACACACATTTAGGTACCTAGAGTGGTTCTACCTACAGTGGTCCTTAAGGATGAGTTTTCTGAATTGGTTCTGGGGTTCTGCAATTGGTTTTCTAACCTGATTAGATTTAAAGGCACTAACGACTTTATTTTCAATAGTTAAGAGGGCACTGATAGCCCATGACATGATGTACAAAATATTATCACTGGATAGTCCTAATCAAATACTTAAAAGGTTCTGGGTGATACTGTATTTGATACCTTAGAACCTTTTTGTCAAACTTACGAGTATAATGAGATAGGCTGGTTGCTCCAAATTTCACTGGACAAAGTAGAGAAAGGAAAGGATGAGCTCAGGACTTCAAATTCCCAGCTCAAGCGCTCCATAAATAAAAGTTTTTATGTGTTCCTTGAAAGAAAATCTTATGTCCTATAGCCACAGAGCTGAGGCTTACTGAAAACCAAACTTAAAGTCTCATCTAAAGAGTGGCTGAATTACAACTCCAATTGAATTCCCAACCTTGCAGGGTGTCTGATGTTAAAGTGATGGCATTTCTTTCCCTCACTTTGTCCAACAAAAACTGGATCCTGAAAATTTGAATGGGAACATATGGGCAGATACTGGTGAATCTGGAAACACTGAACCCCTACATTGTGCTGAGTATTCCTCACCAGTAGAAGCAGCCCTTCCACACATCTGAGGAAATTAACCGGGCTTTGCCTGAGGAAACTGTAATTGCCTCCCATGAGGTATTTGCCTTGCAACACTGCTGATCTACCCCTCACCACCCATCTTTTCTTCTAGACCTATAACTAAACTCAAGTCCCAGCAGGCCTTGAAAAGTGAGCTACAAAGTGTGACTCATGAGGAGGTGTGCTACACTCAAAAGAAATACATGATTTTTCTAATGTGTACAGACAGAAACCCGGAGAATATATGTAGGAATGGATATTAAAGATGTGGGATGATGGTGGAAGGAACATAAAGTTGGGTCAGACTGAATTTATTGATTTGGGCCCCCTAAGCAGAGATTCTGGATTCAATATTGTAGCTTGAGGGGTTAGAAAGGGCTCTAATTGGTTGGTTGGTTGGCTGAAACATAAACCAAAAGGTGAGCTACACTAAATGGAGTTGAAATGCCAGGACTGACTTGGTATACTCTAGAAAAAGGTATCCAAAGGCTTAAGGATATTGGCATGTTAGAGTGGATTTATTATGTACAACCTGCTCACCACCACACGATGTCCAGAGGACACACCTTCACCACAACTGTGAAGAATAAACTTGCGAGGGGAGTCCCAGCATCCTTGGAGAGCTCTATGGTTGCACTTCTCTGTGAGATATTACAGTGGGAACTACTGCCACTGAACTGGGAAACCTAAATTCAATGGGGATAATTGGATCCCAGGGTAACAGGGGCCAAGTGGCAGCACTTAATCACCAAAGACAATGTGGGTGTGATTACTGTAATGGACAGTGGAGTCAAAGCAGTAGTCAGAATAATTTGATTTGCAGAGACCTATGGTGTTAGCTAGGAAAAATACATGAGTCATATACTGAAATCTTACTTGATCTGTATAAGTGAAAGATTTGTAAGTCAAGTTAACAGAAGTCTAACCTGAATCACCAAAACAGAGAGCCATGGCTTCTCAATCAATTCCCGGACTTCAACTAGTTTGTTGTTGTTGTTGTTGTTAGGTGCTATTGAGTCGGTTCTGACTCATAGCGACCCTACGTACCATGGAAGGAAACACTGCTGTGTCCTGTGCCATGCTCACAATCGTTGTTATGCTTGAGCCCATTGTTGCAGCCACTGTCTCAATCCATCTCGTTGAGGGTCTGACCCTCTACTTTACCAAGCATGATGTCCTTCTCCAGGGACTGATCCCTTCTGACAACACGTCCAAAGTACATAGGACGTAGTCTTGCCATCCCTGCTTCTAAGGAGCATTCTGGTTGTACTTCTTCCGAGACAGATTTGTTCATTCTTTTGGCAGTCCATGGTATATTCAATATTCTTCGCCAACACCACAATTCAAAGGCGTCAATTCTTCTTCGGTCATCCTTATTCATTGTTCAGCTTTCGCATGCATATGATGCAACTGAAAATACCATGGCTTGGGTCGGGCGCACCTTAGTCTTCAAGGTGATATCTTTGCTTTTCAACACTTGAAAGAGGTCTTTTGCAGCAGATTTGCCCAATGCAATGCGTCTTTTGATCTCCTGACTGCTGCTTCCATGGGTGTTGATTGTAGATCCAAGTAAAATGAAATCCTTGACAACTTCAAACTTTTCTCCATTTATCATGATGTTACTTATTGGTCCAGTTGTGAGATTTTTGTTTTCTTTATGCTGAGGTGTAATCCATACTGAAGACTGTGGTATTTGATCTTCATCAGTAAGTGCTTCAAGTCCTCTTCACTTTCAGCAAGCAAGGCTGCCATCTGCATAACGCAGGTTGTTAATGAGTCTTCCTCCAATTCTGATGCCCCGTTCTTCTTCACAGAGTCCAGCTTCTCAGATTGTTTGCTCAGCATACAGATTGAATAGGTATAGTGAAAGAACGCAACCCTGACACATACCTTTACTGATTTTAAACCATGCAGTATCCCCTTGTTCTGTCCAAAACAACTGCCTCTTGATCTATGTACAGGTTCCTCATGAGCACAATTAAGTGTTCTGGAATTCCCATTCTTCGCAATGTTATCCATAATTTGTTATGATCCACACAGTCGAATGCCTTAGCATAGTCAATAAAACACAGGTAAACATCTTTCTGATATTCTCTGCTTTCAGCCAGAATATATCTGACATCAGCAATGATATCCCTGGTTCCCGGTCCTCTTCTGAATCCGGCCTGAATTTCTGGCAGTTCCCTGTCAACATACTGCTGCAGCATCTTTTGAATGAGCTTCAGCAAAATTTTACCTGCATGTGATATTAATGATACTGTTCGATAATTTCTGCATTTGGTTGGATTGCCTTTCTTGGGAATAGACATAAATATGGATCTCTTCCAGTCATTTGGCCAGGTAGCTGTCTTCTAAATTTCTTGGCATCAGCCAGTTTACAAATCTACAATCCCTACAATAAAGGGGATGCCAGGTCCCCTTGGGAAGAACCCCATTACATGCCAAAATTTTATACTATTAATCTTTCTCCCAGCCTTGCCCAAAGAGACCTGTGGCCTTTTACCAGGGTGACTGTGTATTGGGGGAAAGGAAACACCAGACTTTTCAGGATTATTGGACACTGAGCACATTAATTCCAGGAGACTCAAAATGTCACTGTGGTCCACCAGTCAGAGGAGGGGCAATCAGAGGTCAGGTGATCAACTGAGTTTTAGCACAGGTCCGTCTCACAGCAGGTTCTGAGGGTCTCCAAAACTATCCTGTAGTTATTTCCCCAGTTCCAGAATGCATAATTGGAATACATATACTCAACAACTCACAGAATCCCCACATTGGTTTCTTGACCTGTGGAGTGCGGGCTATTATGGCAGAAAAGGCCAAGTGGAAGCCACTAGAACTGCCTCTACCTAGAAAAATGGTAAATCAAAAGCAATACTGCACTCCTGAAGAGATTGCAGAGCTTAGTGCCACCATCAAGGACTTGAAGGATGTTGGGCTGGTGATTCCCACCACATCCCCATTCAACTAGCCTATCTGGCCATGCAAAATACAGACAGATCTAGGAGAATGACAGTGGATTATTGTAAACTTAACCAGGTAGTGATTGTAATTGCATCTGCTATTCCAGATGTGGTTCATTACTTGGCCAAATTAACACATATCCTGGTGCACGGCACACAGCTATTGATCTGGCAAATGCTTTTTTCTTGATATCTGTTAGTGAAGACCACCAGAAGCAGTCTACCTTAGCTGGAAAGGCCAGCAATATATCATCACTGTCCTACCTCAGGGGTGTATCAACTCTCCATATTAAGCCCTATGTCATAATTTATTCTGCAGGGACCTTGTCTTTCCCTTCCACAAAACATCACACTGATCCATTATATTAATAACAGTATGCTGATTGGACCTAGTGAATAAGAAATACTAACTATTCTAGATTTATTGGTAAGACACCTGCAAGTCAGAGGGTGTGAAATTAACCCAACAATATTCAGGGCCTTCTGCCTCAGTGAAATTTCTAGGGGCCCAGTGGTATGGGGCATGTAAAGATATACCTTCTAAGGTAAAAGATAAGTCGCTGCATCTGGCCTCTCCCACAACTAAAAAGGAGGCACAATGCCTAGTAGGCCCCTTTGGATTTTGGAGGCAACATACTCCTTTTCTGGGTGTGATACTCCAGTCCATTTGCTGAGTGACCCAAAAAGCTGCTTAGTTTTGAGTGGGGCCCAGAAGAAGAGAAAGCTCTGCTCTAGGTCTGGGCTGCCATATAAGCTGCTCTGCCACTTGGGCCATAGGATCCAGCATACCAGTTGTGCGTGAAGTGTCAGTGGCAGAAAGAGATGCTGTTTGAGCCTTTGGCAGGCCTCTATTGGTGAATCACAACACAGACTCTTTGGATTTTGGGGCATAGCCCTGCTATCCTCTGCAGATAACTACTCTCCTTTTGAGAAACAGCTTTTGGCTTGCTACTGGGCCTTAGTAAAGACTGAATACTTAAACATGGGCCACATTATCATGTGACCTGAGCTGACCATCATGAGCTGGGTGTTTGTTGTCTGATTAACAAAGCTGTAAGTGTGGGCATGTACAGCAGTACTCCGTCAACAATTGGAAATGGTATATATGAGATCAAGCTCAAGCAGGCATGAAGGCACAAGTAAGTTACATGAGGAAGTAGCCCAAGTGCTTATGGTCCCCACTCCAGCTACATTACCTTCTCTCTCCCAGCCTGCACTTATGGCCTCATGGGGAGTACCCTATGATCAGCTGACCGAGGAAGAAAAAACTCATGCCTGGCTTATAGATGATTCTACATGATATGCAAGAATCCCTGGTGGCACAGGGGTTAAAGAACTCGGCTGCTAAGGTTGGCGGTTTGAACCCACCAGCTGCGCCACGGGAGAAAGAGGTAGCAGTCTGCTTCTGTAAAGATTTACAGCCTTGGAAACCCTATGAGGCAGTTCTACTCTGTCCTAGCGTCGCTATGGGTCAGAATCAACTCAGTAGCAGCGGGGTTTTGCATGATATGCAGGCACCACCCAAAAATGGACAGCTGTAGTATTATAGCCCTTCTGGGACATCTCTGAAGGATGGTAGTAAAGTGAAATTCTCTCAGTAGGCAGAACTTCTGGCAGTACATTTGGTTGTTCATTTTACTTAGGAAAAATGGTGAGAAGTATATTATAAACTGATTCATGCGCTGCTGCCAATGGATTGGCTGGATGGTCAGGGACTTGGAAGGAACATGACTGGAAAATTGGTGACAAGGAAGTTTGTGTAAGAGGTATGTGGATAGGACATCTCTCAATGGGCAAAAAATCTGAAGATATTTGTATCCCATGTGAATGTTCGCCATCTGAGGTACTTGCTGAGGGCAAAGGGAATATGGAATGGATAGCAGAAGAAGGTAATTATAAATACCAGCTATGACCACATGACCAGTCGCAAACATGGGGACTGTTACTGTAATGAGTATTTCTTCCTTAATTTGTTATGAATATGTGTGTGTGTGTGTGTATGTAGCAAGTATCTGTTTTCTTCCTTCTCTTATTCTCTTACTTATCATATAACATAAGATTTACTAACTTTACATCATAGTATTTAAGTTACAGGATACCAAAGACAAAAGTGAACATCATCCAAGGACTTTGTATCCTCCCTTGGAAGGGGTTAGTGCATTTTTGGTTGTACACAGGATAGTTATGTTAGGCAAAAGTATGACTTTGTCATTGTCTTTATTTGGAGATTAAGTATGGTTTAAAAAGATTTAGACAGGTGACAAGCTGACAAGGGGTGAACTGTGATGGTTAATTTTATGTGTCAACTTGGCTAGGCTATGGTGCCCAGCTGCTTGGTCAAACACTATTCTAGATGCTGCTATGAAGGTATTTTGTTGATTTAATTAGCATTTTAATCCGTTGACTCTAAGTAAAGGAGATTACTCTTGATAATGTGGGTTGGTCTCACCCCAACAGTTGAAAGCCTTAACAGCAAAAACAGGTTTCCCGGGGAAAAGGAATCCTGCCTCAAGTCTGCAACCTAGATATCCTGCTGAAGTTTCAAGTCTACCACCTGGCCTATGGATTTTGGACTCATGATTGCTGGAGTTTACAGCTTGCCCCCTTACCTATAGATTTTGGACTTGTCAGCCCCCACAACTGCATGAGACACTTTCTTAAAATAAATCACTCTCTGTCTGTTTCTCTCTCTGTCTATCCTATTGATTCTGTTTCTCTGGAGAACTCTAATACAAATAGTTTCTCAAATGTTAGGCCACACCCATGCAGCCCAGCACAGAGGACACCCAGGACTCCAAGATGGCATCCATCATACCACTGAAGGAGAAGAAACTCATGGGTGTCAAAATAGGGGAGCTGCCCAGCTGTACACTGATGTGGGGCTTCACCTCGAGTGGCACTGCGGGAGCATTTCAGAGAGGTTATGACCAGTTTTACAACAAGTATGTCAACGCAAAGAAGGGGAGCATTGCTGGGGTCTCCATGGTGCTGGAAATTATGTGGTTTTCAACTACTGCCTTTCTTACAAGGAACTCAGACATGAGCGGTTACATAAGTACCACTGAGAGGAAGCAGTGGAGAGGTTGCCGTCTGTATTCCTGGCTGTGGCCACTTTTTCCCTGGGACCACCTCCCCCTTGAGGAACAGTCCTTTCACACCCTAATTGAGAACTAGTGTCCAATAAAAGATGACAGGTAAAAGAAAAAGTTAGCCTACAGAACTCACCCTTATCAAAACCACGTCAGCTGCTTCAATGGCTACATCTGTGCCTGTGCCAATGGCAATTCCAACATTGGCCATTGCCAAAGCTGGGGAGTCATTTATTCCATCTCCTACCATTGCTACCCGTTTCCCCTCCTCTTGAAGTTGTTTCACCTTAGCAACCTTGTGGGAAGGTAGAACTTCAGCAAACACCTTGGTAATGCCAACCTACATGAGGAAAAATAAACTTAATTCATTTCAAGAAATATTACTGAGTATCTTAAACATGCTTAGCAATAATGAGCCATCATTTTCACCCATCAGATATCCAAATTTTTCAAATATGGAGAAATGAGCTCTCCTATACACTGTTAGTGGATATATAAATTGGTACTGTTTTTGTAGGGTATTTGGCAACATCAGTCAAAATGTGCATATCCTTTGGCCCAGTAATTCCTCTTCTGGCTATATTTTGGACATACTTATACATGTACAAAAAGATGTATGTCCAAGGATGTTCATTATTGCCCTGTTTGTAACAACAAAATTTTGAAAACCACCTAAATGCCCATCATCAGGGGTATGGTTAAACAAATTGCGATATATCCATACCATGGAATTCCATGCAGCAATGTAAAAAGAATAAAATAACTTTATATTCAAGCATGGACAAAGCTCTAAGGCATATTGTTACATTAAAAAAAGCAAACTGCTAAACAATCTGTACAAAATGATCCAATTTATGTTGAACATACTGGAACTATACATTTGTATATAAATATATATGCATATGAAAAAGTCTGGGGGAGTAGGACTGGACAGGGAGCATGGGAAAAGTGACTTAAACTTTATTTATTTATTTTTTTAGGAGAAAAGCGAATCTATTGGGCCAATGCATCTAAAACTCAAAGAGTTCAAGTTAGCTTTGGGAATATTCTGATAAAAGGATTCAGAAAATTTTTCTTGTTTTCCTCTCCTCTTTATACTGGTTTCATTCTTACACAGGTTGACCTTTTTTGATAGCTATAGCATCTGCAGTTCTTATGTCCTTGTATTTCAGCTCTATGGGAAGAGTAACCGTCTTTGTCTCAGTATTACCAGCAAAAAAAATCTGTTTGTCTTCTTTGCTCTGATTGTGTCCATTTCTGAACCAATTACTGTGGTCAAAGGACTGCAGTGTGCTGACTGGTTTATGCTTGTGTCATTTACTCCACCCGAATGGCAATGGCATAGAGTGAGAGAGTATGTATGTGTCTGTTGCGGGAAAAGGAGAAGGGGAAAATTGGTGCACCAAGAGGAAAGTGTATGAATTTTAGATCTAAACACAATAAAAGTCTGTTATACTAGGTCTTTTAGTTTAAATAAGATCCTCAATAGAGCTAAATATGGAAGAAAGGCCTGGCAATCTACTTCTGAAAAATCAGTCAATGAAAACCCAGTGGATCACAACAGTCAGATCTCTTTGTGCACAGGGACGTCATAAGTCGGGGGCTAACTGGACCACAGCTAACAACAACAAGAGCTGTATCTATCACAAACGAGGCAGTTGGACTCATGACCTTTAATTTACACTAATTTATACTCTATGACTAAGTATATTTTTTAAAGTCTTAAATTAAAAAAAAAACAAACAAAAAAACCCCACATTTTTCAGAATTAAAAAAAATAACCTGTTGAAGGAAAATAAAAATGTAGTATTTGGCCTATATTATGGCTGGTGATATTTTGTATGAGGACCAGTACATACCTCTGAGTGTAGGATTAAAACTCAAGACTCTTTAAAGCTAGTGTGATCAATCTCATATGCCTTTGCACTTTTTTTTCCTTCTAAATTTTATTTATTTTGTTATTGTTGAGACTACACACAGCAAAACATACACCAATTTACATGTACAATTCAGTGACACTGATTACATTCTTCCAGTTGTGCAACCATTCTCACCCTCCTTTTCTGAGTTGTTCCTCCCTCATTAACACAAACTCACAGCCCCCTAAGATTCCTATCTAATCTTTCAAGTTAACTATTGTCAATTTGATCCCATATAGACAGATCTTAAAAGAGCATAATGCTCAAGGCAGACATTTGCTACTAGTTAAGCTAAACTACTGATCAGTTTTAAGATGAATTCAAAGGATATTAAAGAGCTCTGGTGGCATAATGGTTAGGTGCTCAGCTGCTAAACAAAAGGTCGGTGGTTTGAACCCACGCAGTGACTCTGTGGGAGAAAAGACCTGGTGATCTGCTCCCGTAAAGATTACAGCCTAAGACACCCTATGGGGCAGTTCTACTCTGTCCTATAGGGTCACTACAAGTCAAAATCGACTCTACAGAAACAGGGTTCAAAGGATATTTTTGGTTTAAGGTTTAAGATTATCTCAGGGCAATAGTTTCTGGGGTTCATCCACCTCCATGGCTCCAGAAAGTCTAGAGTCCATGAGAATTTGAAATTCTGGATTCTTCTATGGAATCTTTGATCAAAATGTTCAGTAATGGTAGCCAGGCACCATCCAGTTTTGACCTCATGGTAAAGGAGGCAGTTGTTCATGGAGGTAATTAGCCACACATTCCATATCCTCTTCTTATTCCTGACTCTCCTTCTTCCTCTGTTGTTCCAGGTGAATGATTTAAACTTTTTATTTTATATTCTTCTGTATTTCTTTATACAAGAATGTATTCACATACAACTGATATTATTTAAAGGAGAGGGGAAACAACATTCCAAAGTAGAAAATAATAATATAAGAAGAGTTTTGGAGATAAGGCAAATTTGGGAGTCAGTACTAGAGAAATGGTATGTCAAAGTAATACATTAGGAAGATTGTTCCATCAGTGTTGTTCAAGGTGGACTAGTGGGGGGAGTGCATGAAGCTATTGCCATGTTTTAGGCATGAGATTATTAAAGCATGGTTTAGGCTGACAGTACTGGGGAAGAATATGAGCAACATTTCAAAGGAAGCATCAATAGAAACTGTATACAGTGTCACTCAGCAACCCATGAACTAGACAAATAGCCTTTACTTGTAACAGTAACACACAAAGTCCAAAGACCTTCCAGCATGACATGTCAATTCCTCTTTAAGGAACCAACTACAGCCACTCAATGATAAAATAATAGGTAATACAAACTCTATTTTAGAGTCTGAAGGAAAAAAAGAAAATGTATATGAAGAATTAGAAGTCACTACATACCCTCATCCCAATAACTAAGTAAACCAATTACCTGAGAAGCAATACATCTAGCTGTTTTACTGTTGTCTCCAGTCATAAGAACTACTTCTAAGCCCATAGATTTCAGAATATGGACAGCCAATTCTGCTTCAGGCTTCACTGTATCAGCAATGGCTATCAACCCACACAGCTCATCTAATACAGGAACAGCAAAAAAGAAGACAGTTTTAAGTATAGTGAAAAAAGAATAATATTCTGACTTAAAATTTCAGAAATAAACCAATTACATTAAGCAACGTTGTTCAGGGCTTGGCTTAACTTAAAATATCTCTGAGCCCACACAGACTTTATACCACAAACCCTGTAACAAACCTCAATATCTGGTTATGAAAATGCATACAGTGAAGAAGGGCTTATTATATGAATACTAGGGGTTACTAGTAGTAGGAAAATAAAAAGAGAGACCTTACTGGATAGTAAAAGACCCCTTCTCTTTCCTTAGATAGGAGTTTGTCAATAGTCCCAAATACCTTAGCTAATTTAAAGGCAAATGAAAATGAAAACTAGTATCTTTTTTCTTTTTAAGGTAAAGAGTGTTGGAGACAAAACTGGCATTTTATATTGGAAAAACAAATCACAGCAAGTACTTATTTTACCCTGCTTTCTTTTAAAGTAAAATAATATTCTCTAATTCTTCCTGATCCTAGAAAAGCTATAGTAAGATACTGTCTTCATACTTAGCAAGGATTATAAATGTTGACTCATTAATCTCACAGCTGGAAATTTACCCTAAGAAATAATTTAACAAAAGAAAGCACCAAAAACCTCAAAGACGCTTACTGTGGTATTATTTACAATATTGAAATAGCAGAAACAGCCCAAATTCCCAAGAACAGGGGGATGATTAAGTTAATTATAATATACAAGTTTGATAAATTATACATCATTAAAATAAAATCATTTAGCAAAACTGGAAAATGTTTATTATTAAATAAAATAAAGCAGAATAAAATAGTATGGGTACAAGGGGATTTTAATTTTTATTCAACTTTATTGAGGTATAATATACATAAAATATACCCATTTAAAAACAGTTTGTGTATTAATATTGTATTTATGTAAAAACATGTATGTAAATGAACGAAAAGGGAAATGGAATACAAGAAACTAAAACTGACATTGTGTTGTTGTTAGGTGCCATCAAGTCGGTTCTGACTCATAGTGACACTATGTACAACAGAACGAAACATTGTCCAGTCCTGCGCCATCCTCACAATCCTTGTTATGCTTGAGCCCACTGCTGCAGCCAGTGTCAATCAATCTCATTGAGGGTCTTCCTCTTTTTCACTGACCCTCTACTTTACCAAGCATGATGTCCTTTTCCAGAGACTGATCCCTCCTGATAACATGTCCAAAGTACGTGAGACATAGTCTCGCCATCCTTGCTTCTAAGGAGCATTCTGGATGTACTCCTTCCAAGATAGATTTGTTCATTCTTTTGGAAGTCCATGGTATATTCAATATTTTTCACCAACACCACAATTCAAAGGTGTCAATTCTTCTTTGGTCTTCCTTATTGATTGTCCAGCTTTTGCATGCATATGAGGCAAATGAAAACACTATGACGTGGGTCAGGCTCACCTTAGTCTTCAAGGTGAAGTCTTTGCTTTTAAACACTTTAAAGTCGTCTTTTGCAGCAGATTTGCCCAATGCAATGTGTCGTTTGATTTCTTGACTGCTGCTTCCATGGGTGTTGGTTGTGGATCAAAGTAAAATGAAATTCTTGACAACTTCACTCTTTTCTACATTTACCATGATGTTGCTTATTGGTCCAGTTGTGAAGATTTTTGTTATCTTTATGTTAAGGTGTAATCCATACTGAAGGCTGTAGTCTTTGATCTTCTATCGTTAAGTGCTTCAAGTCCTCTTCAATTTCAGCAAGCAAGGTTGTGTCATCTGCATAACACAGGTTGTTAATGAGTCTTCCTCCAATCCTGATGCCCCGTTCTTCTTCATATAGTCCAACTTCTTGGATTATTTGCTCAGAATACAGACTGAATAAGTATGGTGAAAGGATACAACTCTGATGCACACCTTTCCTGACTTTAAACCACACAGTATCCCCTTGTTCTGTTTGAATGACTGCCTCTTGATCTATGTACAGGTTCCTCATGAGCATAATCAAGTATACTGGAATTTTCATTCTTCACAATATTATTCATAATTTGTTATGATCCACACAGTCGAATGCCTTAGCACAGTCAATAAAACACAGGTAACATCTTTCTGGTATTCTCTGCTTTCAGCCAGAATATATCTGACATCAGCAATAATATCCCTGGTTCCGTGTCCTCTTCTGCATCTGGCTTGGATTTCTGGCAGTTCCCTGTCAATGCAGCTGCTTTTGAATGATCTTTAGCAAAATTTAACTTGTGTGTGACATTAACGATATTGTTCAATAATTTCTGCATTCGGTTGGATCACCTTTCTTTGGAATAGGCATAAATATGGATCTCTTCCAGTCAGTTGGCCAGGTAGTTGTCTTCCAATTTCTTGGCATAGATGAGTGAGCACTTCCAGAGCTGCATCCATTTGTTGAAACATTTCAATTGATATTCCGTCAATTCCTGGAGCTGCGTTTTTCGCCAATGCCTTCAGTGCAGCTTGGACTTCTTCCTTCAGTACCATCAGTTTCTGATCATATGCTACCTCCTGAAATGGTTGAACAATGACCAGTTCTTTTTGGTATAGTGACTCTGTGTATTCCTTCCATCTTCTTCTGATGCTTCTTGCATCGTTTAATATTTTCCCCATATAATCCTTCACTATTGCAACTCGAGGCTTGAAATTTTTCTTCAGTTCTTTCAGCTTAAGAAATGCTGAGAGTGTTCTTTCCTTTTGGGTTTCTAACTCAAGGTCTTTGCATACGTCATTATAATACTTTATTTTGTCTTCTCCAGCCGCCCTTTGAAATCTTCTGTTTAGCTCTTTCACTTCATCATTTCTTCCATGTGCTTTGGCTACTCAAAGTTCAACAGCAAGTTTCAGAGTCTCTTCTGACATCCATGTTGGTCTTTCTTTCCTGTCTTTTTAATGACCTCTTGCTTTCTTCACTTACGATGCCCTTGATGTCATTCCACAGCTCGTCTGGTCTTTGGTCATTAGTGTTCAATGCATCAAATCTATTCTTGAGATGGTCTCTAAATTCAGGTGGGATATACTCAAGGTCATCCTTTGGCTCTCTTGGACTTGTTTTAATTTTTTTCAGCTTCAACTTGAACTTACATATGAGCAACTGATTTTCCGTTCTGCAGTCGGCCCCTGGACTTGTTCTGACTGATGATATTGAGCTTTTCCATTGTCTCTTTCCACAAACGTAGTTAATTTGAATCCTGTGCATTCCATCTGGTGAAGTTCACATGTACACTTGCCGTTTATGTTGTTGAAAAAAGGTACTTGCAATAAAGAAGTTGTTGGTCTTGCAAAATTCTATCATGTGATCTCCGGCATCATTTCTATCACCAAGGCCATATTTTCCAACTACTGATCCTTCTTCGTTTCCAACTTTCACATTCCAATTACCAGTAATTATCAATGCATCCTGATTTCATATTCAATCAATTTCAGACTGCAGACATTGGTAAAAATCTTCAATTTCTTCATCTTTGGCCTTAGTGGTTGGTGCGTAAATTTGAATAACAGTCATATTATCTGGTCTTCCTTGTTGGTGTAAGGACATTATTCTATCACTGACAGCGTTGTACTTCAGGACAGATCTTGAAATGTTCTTTTTGACGATGAATGCAAGGCCATTCCTCTTCAAGTCGTCATTCCCAGTATAGGAGACCATATGGTTGTCCAATTCGAAATGGCCAAAACCAGTCCATTTCAGCTCACTAATGCCTAGGATATCGATCTTTATGTGTTTCATTTCATTTTTGACAATTTCCAATTTTCCTAGATTCACACTTCATACATTCCACGTTCTGATTATTAATGCATGTTTGCAGCCGTTTCTTCTCATTTTGATTTGTGCCACATCAGCAAATGAAGGTCCCGAAAGCTTAACTCCACCCACATCATTAAGGTTGACCCTACTTTGAGGAGGTAGCTCTTCCCCAGTCATCTTCTGAGTGTCTTCCAACCTGAGGGGCTCACCTTCTGGCACTACATCAGACAATGTTCCGCTGCTATTCATAAGGTTTTCTCTGGCTAATTCTTCTCAGAAGTAGACCACCAGGTCCTTCTTCCTAGTCTGTCTTAGTCTGGAAGCTCAGCTGAAACCTGTTCACCATGGGTGACCCTGCTGGTATTTGAATACCGATGGCACAGCTTCTAGCATCACAGCAACACGCAAGCCCCTACAGTATGACAAACTGACAGACACGTGAGGGTACATTGTGTTAGGATGATGAAACTATGGATGTTATTCTACTTTGCTATTTTTTTAATGTAATGTTATTTTTTAGGTTTTAAAAATCCTTGAGGGCTATTTTTCTTTTTTTAATTAATATTTTTATTTTCCGTGAAAATATACACAAAACCCACTCCCATTCCACAGTTTCTAGACATAATGATCAGTGACATCAGTTACATTCTTCACACTGTGTCAGCATTCTCGTTATTTCTGTTCTAGTTATTTTACTCACATTAACTTAAACTCTCTGCCCCCTACCCTACTCATCTATGTTTTAAAATTCCCGAAGCTCACTTTTCAGACAAAGATTAGACATGCTATAAAACAAAAAATAACACACATGAGGAACGTGCTTCTTAGTTCAATCAAATATAAGAGACCAAACGGGCAGCTTCTGTCCAAAAGCAGGACAAGAAGGCAGGAAGGGGCAGGAACTGGATGAATGGATACAGTGATCCTGGGGTGGAAACAAGGAGCATGCTGTCATATTGTGGGGATTACAACCAATGTCACAAAACAATATGTGTATAAATTTCTGAATGAGAAATTAACTTGAGCTGTAAACTTTCACCTAAAGCACAATAAAAAGAAAAAAAGATAGCTGTTGACCATTTGGTCTTATAATTTTTTTAAAAAGAATGCAATACTCAAAGGTGACAATCTACTTTTTGAGCTAAACTGTACTCAGTTTAAAGGCGACTTCAGGGGATAGTTTCAATTCAAGGTTTGAAGAGTAACTCAGGGCCATAGTCTTGAGGATTCCTCCAGCCTCAATGGGTCCAGTAAGTCTGGATTCTTTAAGAATTTTAAGTACTGTTCATATTTTTCTGCCATTCTATCAGGATCCATCTATTATGCCCCTGTTCAGAATGTTGAGTAGTGGTAGCCGGGCACCATTTAGTTCTTCTGTTTCCAAGGTAGAAGAGACTGTGGATCATGGAGACAATCACTCCTGTAGTCGGGTTCCTTCTCTGATTCTTGGATTTCCTTCTTTCTCTTTTGTTCCAGACAAATAGAGACCAATGGCCGCTTATAAGCTTTTAAAACCCCAGACTCACCATACTGGGAGATAGAACAAAAACTTTAAGAACTGTATTATGACAATTGACTGGATTGTCCCATGAGACTGTGACCCTAAGCCCTCAATCCAAGAGAACTAATCCTGTGAGGTGACTGGTTATGTATAATTAGTATCAGAATCTGTAGCCCTCCACCCCCTTTTTTGGTTCTTCTTATTGTTGTAAAATTATAACCTAAACCCGCTGCTGTCGAGTTGATTCCGACTCATAGCATATATATACACCTAGCATTTGCCAATTCATCCTTTTTCCCTATGTGCTGCTTATTGGAATCAATTACATCAGTCATGCTGTGCAAACTTCACCTATATATGGTGCCACCTTTCCCATTACTATACACAAAAAGTGACTACTACCTAGCAAGTACTTCTCCCTGCCCCCCGCCAACCACTAAGGAACATTAGTTTCTATATACTTACCTATTCATTTCATAAAAGTGAGAACATATAATATTTGTCTTTCTGTGATTGACTTATTTTGCTCAATATAATGTCCTCCAGGTTCATCCATGTTGCAAGATGTTTTGGGAACTCATTTTTATCGTTCAGTAGTATTCCATCGTATGTATGTACCACATTTTGCTTATCCATTCATCCACTGATGGGCATTTAGGTTGTTTCCATCTTTTTGCTATTGTGAAGAGTGCTGCAATGAACATGGTTGTGCATATGTCTGTTCCTGACACTTCTATTAGATCCCTAGGGTATTTATCTAGGAGTGGAATTGCTGGGTCATATGGCAGCTCTACTGCTAGTTTTTCTGAGGAACTGTCAGACTGTTCTCCACAACAGCTGTACCATTCTGCATTCCCATCAGCAATGGATGAGGGTTCCAATTTCCTCACATCCCCACCAACACTTGTTATTTTCCATTTTTGTTTTTTAATCTTAGCCATCCTAGTTGTAATGAAATGGTATCTCGTGGTTTTGATTTGCATTTCTCTGATGGCTAATAATGCTGAGCGTCTTCATATGTGTTTGTTAGTCATTTGAATATCCTCTTTGGTGAAGTGTCTATTCATCTCCTTTGCCCATCTTTTGATTGTCTTTTTGTTGTTAAGTTGTAGAAGGTTTATATATTTTTCAGATATTAGACCCTTATCGGTTGTATCGTTCCTGAAAGTTTTTTCCCAGTCTTTAGGTTGTCTTTTTACTCTTTTGATGGACATAAGTATTTAACTTTTATGCAGTCCTAGTTATCTATTTTGTTTTCTGCTGCTTGTGCATTTATTCTTGTGTTTCATAATCTATCATTGAAATAAATTAGGTCCCAAAGCTTTGCTCCTATATTTTCTTCCAAGAACTTTATGGTTTTATATTTAACATTTAGGTCCTTGATCCATTCTGAATTAGTTTTTGTGTATGGCATGAGGTATGGACCTTGCTTCATATTTCTGCATGTGGAAATCCAGTTTTGCCAGCACCATTTGTTGAAGAGACCGTTCCTTACCCATTGAATGGATTTGGCTCCCTTGTCAAAAATCAATTGACCAGAGATGTTTGGATTTACTTCTGTTTTTTTTATTCTATTCCATTGATCTATATGTCTATCATTGAACCAGTACCAGGCTGTTTTGATTACTGCAACTGTGTAATATGTTTTGAAGTTGGGAAGTGCGAAGCCACCTACCTTGTTCTTCTTCAAAATTGCTTTCGCTATTCAGGGTTTCTTGTCTTTTCATATAAAATTGAGGATTAGTTTTTCCATTTCTGTAAAGAATGCTGTTAGAATTTTGATCAGGATCGTGCTGTTTCTACAGATTACTTTTGGTAGTAATGACATCTTGACTATATTAAGTCTTCCAATCATGAGCACAGAACATATTTCCATCTATTTAGGTCTTCTTTAGTCTCTTTCAGCAGTTTTTTATAATTTTCATTTTATAAGTCTTTCACATCCCTGGGTAAATTTATTCCTAGATATTTTATTCTCTGAGATGCTATTGTAAATGGAGTTGTTTTCTTAATCTCCTTTTCACATTTCTAATGCTGGTGTATAGAAACCCAAATGATTTTTGTGTATTGACCTTGTATCCTGCAACTTTGCTAAATTCCTCTATTAGTTCTAGAAGCTTTTTAGTAGATTATTTGGGGTTTTCTATATATAGGATTATGTCATCTGTGAATACAGTTTTACCTTTTAGCTATTAGCTGTTTTTATTTAAATGTTGGCTAGGGAAGAAAATAATAAAGCCAGGAAAATGCAAGAGAATTTTTAATTAATCATTAACCACTATGTATTGTTAATATTTTCACTTTGTATTCAAGTTGCTCTTAAATAACCCTTATAGTTCATAAACTTATCAAAAATGCAGATAAAAAATAACCAAGATCATGACACTGAGTCAGCATACTTATGGAAAACCTTACCATCAACTGCCACCAATACAGCAGTCCGACCTTTTCTCTCATGTTCAGTCATGCAATCATCTACATCATTATTAATGATGAGACCATTTCTAATCATCCATTCCCGGTTACCAATGAGGACTTTGTACTGCTGAGCATTAAGAGCATCTGAAAAAAAGTAGAGAATATTTAGTGAGCTCATTTAATCTTTATAACAATCCACAAGGCAAGTTCTTCCCTCCTAACCTTGCACAGCTACTACTTTATATATTTGGTAGAAGAAAGCCTACAATAGTTATTTTCAAATTTTCTAGGAATATACTCTGCTCTTTCTTGACTCTGGGCCTTTGTACACGTTGCCACCTCCACCCGGAACATCCTTGCCCCTCCTCTCCAAGTAGCACACTCTATCATATTCTTCAAGAGCCAATTTAAATGTTGTTTTCTTTTTTTTCCACAGTCACATAATCAACCATTTTACTGAATACAAGCATGTTTTCATTCACATACAGCTAAATAAAGCAGTTTTTTTTTTCACATTTCGTTATAGTGCACAACAAAGTGAGGTAAAGTATACGGTACATTTTATTCTGGAATATGAGACAATCAAATCCAATATGCAGTTGTGGTCTTCGTTACAAGTTAATCTTTTCTTTACCTAAGTAGTAAAACAGCTTCTAAAGCTTCATCGTTAGTATTATATTAACACCTGATTTTTTCACACTTATTTTCCAAAACCCACTTATTGCAGTGACAACAGCACTGAATCCTACTAAAATGATTTTTAAAGTTTCTAGAACTTGTTTAAGCAATTAAGCTCAGCCACCTCTGCTGGATCTATGCTGAGTATTTTTAAACCTGCCTAAAAAACGCAAGGAATGGGAAAAGTATACATATAATGTATTTTAGTCAAGAAAACCATACAGAAGTATAGTAGTTGATGACGTTTTCTGTTAACCCAATTCACCATCTTTTGTTTTCTACAACCGTGAAGCTGGCAACTTAATTACCCTATCCACGCCAAATGATGTGAAATGATTGTGAAGGTGATGATTAGTTCACTTGCAGTTGATAATTGTGAATCGGTCCAAGATGGTTTGCTCATCCAATTTGGGGCACGGGCGGCAGGATAGTTTTCCATCATTTTCATTATTTGGCTTCTTTGTTCTGACTGAAGCAAATTCCTAAACTTTCAGATCCAGTCACATTCATACTGAAGTTCAACACTATCTCTCAAAGCAACTTGCCATTCTCAGGCTTTCCTATCACAATGGATATAAGAAACCTGACTCTAATCAGGATAGTTTTCTTACTGTGAAAAGTATGGCTTTTGCCTTGCTGAACCGGCTACAATCCAAAAAATAGTGTAAAGCATCACCTCTCTTCAATAAGATAATGGAATTTTTCAAGCCAGCCGTTCCAATTTTCTGATGCAGTTATCTGTTCACCTGAGAATTAAGAGCTGACTCTCTAGGGCAGACAGGAACCCAGTGTACATATATGGCAAACAGGTGGCCAAGGTCGGTGTAAGGTGAGTATTTTATCCCCACCCAACTCCTCATTGCTGTATTTGGTTCCTTTCAATAAAATGTCCGCTGTGTTTCAGTGATAAGAACACTTATGAAAGTGCCCACACAGTTCCAATGTGTTTTCAGTTGTGCAATTATTCACTTGTTCAAAGCCCTCTTGTCAATAATACCTGAATGGGCCTTACCTTTGATTCATCCCCAGGTTCTCTCAGGATTATAACTGAGTTGTAACCAATAAGGAAAACATATCCTAACATGTAGAGAACATTTATTTATAGTCATATCTCTTCCAAAGAAAATAATTTAAAAACAGTTTGTTCATCTGACAGCAGGATGATGCAGTGAAAAGAACAGAAACTAGGAGTCAGGATCTTGACCTTGGCCAAACAGTGTCCTGGCTCTTAGATGACCCACCTGTAAAATGGGGCTAATAACCTCAGAGGCCTGTTGTGATGATAAAATAAGGTAATGCAAGTGAGACTGCGAGGTAAACTGTACACAGTTGACGAATGAGGGTTTGTCTCAGGGCTATATTCAGAGGCAATCCCTGTGTTGCTGCTGCCAGGTGCCTGAAGAAGCAGGCAGGCTGTTTACTTCCAGACTGCAGTCTCCAATGCAGTGAAACCCCAGGCATGAACAGAGGGGAAAGAATGTATGGCATTTAGGTTACAGTGTTTCTCCCTTCTACTTATATAGTAATTTGCATGGGACAATTTTTTTCCTCTTCCGGCTGGTTATTCTATTACAAGGGTGAACATTTTCTTGAATTATATATAGCAGTGTGTAAATGGCCTCCCTTTTCATTTTGACATCAATTTCATTAAAACACCATAACTTGAAAGGGCCTTAGCAAATAGGCAATCCGCACCCCTCATTTTCTAGGTGACTGTTCAGAAGCTAATTGGTACCTTGAAGCCAAACCCAGCATACACATTTTGTGTAGGATATTCTCACTGAATAAGTTGACCTTACAGTCGTTTTTAGTTACAGTAATTGTTCCCAATGTGATACTTCCGTCCCCCCCCCCTTTATATAGTTCTTTATGTTCGTGACCTATGAATGAGCTGAAATGCCAACAAACAGTTGTCCTGCCTGTAGGTATATTTTTCTGGGGCCTAGCTCCCCAAACCCTAGCCCATTAATATGTGGTCCGCAAAGGGCACACAGAGCACTGCTCAACAAGGGCCAAAATACAGTCCCTCGGTCATAGCGCTCAGGACCCACCATCTATCCACACATGGGCCTGTCAGAGTCTCCTCTGGAAAGGAGGCTCACTTAGCATTCTCTTGGTATTCAAAATGGAGTTTGAGTTCTCTCAGTCACACAAGGATTCTATTGGCTCCAATTACTTTGAAGTTCAGGTGGGAGGGCATGTTTTGGAACTAAGAGGCCTGACTAGCACAAACATCTCTCTGATTTGACAACCTCTTCTCAAGAGTGAACTACATTTGGTACAAATCCACTCTTCACCCCTTCCAGCCCTCCTGGATTGTAATCTCTCCCCTTTTCACCAGCTCATGTATGTCTCGTCAGGTCTGTGAAGGCTTTCTCCACATTAATGGCGTCTCGGGCTGACGTTTCAATGTACTTCATACCGTATGCAGCAGCCAGTTTCTTTGCCTCGCGTCGAGTCACTTGCCTCTGTGTATCCAGATCACACTTGTGACCCACCAGAACAAATACAATTTGGTAGGGCTGAACATGTACTTTAGTCTCTTCTAACCATTCATGGACATTCTGGAAGGACCTGTGGTTGGTAATGTCAAATAAAAGAAGACTACCTACTAAGTTCCTGTAGTAGGCTCGAGTGATGGATCGGTTGTTTTGTCTCCTGCTGGAAGCTCCATGAAGCTGCTTTCTCGTACCCCGTTTGCTGGTCTCCGATAGGAGTCCAAGATGGCGGATCCGCGCTGCGTTAGCTGGTAGGGGGCCTCTGCATGTATCTCTCCTTGCTCTCTGTTCTCTGTCAGTTTTCTCACTCCATTTGGTGCTTGGCTGAGTTCTTTATCTCTTCATTTGATGTTTTAGGGTTTCAGGATTGTTTTCTCTGTTCAGCTTAGTTTTTCGGATCTTTGCTGTGGAGGGATGGCGTGGTGCTTCTGCCTAGAGCGCCATTTTGCCAAAGTCTAAATGTTGTTTTCTTGGTGAAGCTTTCCCTTTGACCTTCCATAACAATTCAATTAAATTCAAAATATTTATTGTGTATCATCAGCTGAATGTGGTTGGACAAAAACATACAACTATGTTGACTTGTCTCATTTTAAACTGGTGACCACTTACTTTAAATGGCCCTTAATGCTTAATTCTACTGCATTTTCCTAGTTCATTCACTCTCCATTCCTTCTAGATCGCTATTTCATATCTTCTCCTCTCCTCTCAAATCTCCAATTTCTCCTCCCCTATTCTCATACCAGATGATGACTTTGCTTCCTACTCCAGAAAGAAAATAGAAGCAATCAGAAGAGAACTTTGATAAGCTCTCATCATATCTATCCAACTACCTGTACTTGTGTTCATATATTCCTTCTGCTATTATGAACTGCCCTTGCTACTATTTAGGGCCAGTCTTTTACTAGATCCCCCTCCTTTTACCTATTCTAGAATAGGTCTACAGCAATTCTTTCCTCTCTATCCTACATCATCAGATTTTCTATTTCTAATGGATTGTTCCTGTTGTTGTCAGGTGCCATCCAGTTGCCTTCAACTCATAGAGACCTTTTGTATAACAGAACGAAATGTTGCCCAGTTCTCCACCAGCCTCACAATCGTTGCTATGTTAGAACCCATTGTTGCAGCCACTGTGTCAATCCATTTAATTGAGAGTCTCCCTTTTTTTCTCAGACCCTTTTTTTCTCTGACCCTCTACTTTACTAAGCATGATGTCCTTCTCCAACAATTGGTCTTTCCTGATGATGTGTCCAAAGTAAGCAAGACAAAGTCTCGCCATCCTTGCTTCTAGGGTACATTCTGGCTGTACTTCCTCCAAAACTGATTTGTTCATTCCTCTGGCAGTCTATGGTATATTCAATATTTTTCACCAATGCTATAACTCAAAAGTACCAATTCTTCTTCAGTTATCCTATCTTAAGGAACCCCCTCTCAATCTCATCTACCTCTCTAGCTACTGCCCCATTTCTCTGCTTCTGTACGTAGCAAAACTTCTCAAAACTGTTGTCTCTATTGGTTGTCTCCAATTCATATTTTCCCATTCTCTTGTGAACCCATTCCAATAAAGCTTTTGTCTCTACTGTACTTGTTATTGTTGTTAGGTGCCATCGAGTCAGTTCCAACTCATAGCAACCCTACGTACAACAGAACGAAACACTACCCAGTCCTGCACCATCCTCACAATCGTTGCTATGTTTGAGTCCATCGTTGCAGCCACTGTGTCAGTCCATCTAACTGAGGGTCTTCCTCTTTTTCACTGGCCCTCTACTTCACCAAGCATGATGTCCTTCTCCAGGGACTGGTCCCTCTAGATAACATGTCCAAAGTACATGAGACGAAGTCTCACAATCCTTGCTTTTAAGAAGCATTCTGGCTGTACTTCTTCCAAAACAGATTTGTTTGTTCTTCTGGCACTCCATGGTATATTCAACATGTCTCTACTATTCTAATGAAATTCTTCATATAGTACAC